ATATCGGTTCAGAGCTGTACCTCTGGTACATAGCATCATTCGTTATGTGGTCTGGGCGACGAATTCCAAGAATTGTGCATAGCTGCTTCCAGTGGAATACGTCGAGGGATGCCAGGTTGCCCTCCGGAAGTTCCCACGTCTCACAATTGTAGAGGATGGTGGAGATCCTGAGGGCACTGTAATGTATATTCTCAGCCTACACTTTTCCAATACCTTCTTCTTCCCATGCCACGGGGAGAACATCCTGCCAAAGACCTGCGAGGCCTTCTTCATGCGGTGGACAATATCATCACCCTCGCCCAAGTTGTTCAGATTTTTTCCATTAAGTGGATCCATTCGGTCTTTCCTCAAGGTTTGGAGACTCCACTGTAGCCAATACTTGAATCCATACATCCTGTACACACACCTTGTACACACTCTCTCAAACGGTCTCTAGGCTACACTGCAATTGATATACATGGGGAGACCATTATCGACAAAAGCAGCACACCTTCCCCTCGTCACCGCAGTTTTCACCATTCGCCCATCTGCAAGTTCTCGCCCGCAGGCAACGGTCATACGTTGACCGCAGAATCATGGAGGCACTATTCATGAGGAAGAGGAAGCCGGCAGTGAACAGTGACAATGGTTGGCGACTGTTGGGTGATGTGTAAATATGTCTGTCATTACCATAAATTGTGCAAGAATGTGTGCACTGTGTGTGTGTGTGTGTGTGTGTGTGTGTGTGTGTGTGTGTGTGTGTGTGTGTGTGCGTGTGTGTGTGTGTGTGTGTGTATGTATGTGTGTGAGTGTTGCTAGAAGTGTGTATTTTTCTGCTTTGTACTCACGCTAGCAGTCCTGCACTATCACTGCACTATATTTTCACTTCATACATATCACACAGAATTATAATCTCGCTTCCTGTGGTATTGCAACATTTTACGCTATACCATCACACTTTGGCCACTAGTACTTGTCACATATAATATAAACCCCTGTTCTGTCTACAGTAAACTTATTCCTGATGATGGGCCTTGCCCGAAAATTTGAGCTTATGTATATCAATTGCAGTGTAGCCTAGAGACCGTTAGAGAGAGTGTGTACAAGGTGTGTGTACAGGATGTATGGATTCCATTCTGTCTTTGTCTCTTTACTTTCAGACCCCAGGCCACGAGTGTGGCGCTTACCGTGGGCAAATCTTCCTTGAGCCAAGAGAGTGTACGGGACAGGAAGTTTTAAAGGGGAAGTTAAGGCAAAAATTAAAATTTCACCAGTTGTAGTCTTCGGGGTGCTGAGTCGAATGGTCTTGGTCCGAGAAAGCTGAGACGCTCCCTTCCTACTTGAATCCCAATCGAGCTCGCGCACTTCCACCGAAACTGGGTGACTGCGCCCTACTAGATGGGGATTTGTATGCAGAATGTCACTAAGGGCGCGTTCAGACTACCGTGAACCCCGTCAAACCGTGAATGCCGATAAACCGTGAAGGACATTCACACTACCGATAACAAACTAACGTGACCGTGAAGTTTTCAGCTCTCACCGCGGCACTGACAAGGGATTTTCCCTTTTTTTTCGCAGCGCGCATGCAGCCTGAGCACTTTTTTACTGCCGGTAAAAGTTTACTGCCGCATCAGCCGCGGCAGTAAAACTTTCCCACCGGTAACGTGCCAGTAACGTCACGTGATCAAATCACCTTGGCGACTTTCCCTATCGGTCACTTTTTATCGGTAGTCTGAACGCGCCCTAAAAGCGCCGTTTCGTTCTTATAAAAGCACGGATGACCGCGATTGGCCCATATGTTGTAGTCATTTGGACGCTGAGTCGACTGGTTTTGGTCCGAAAAGGCTGCGATGCAGCGTTCCTCCTTTATTCCCAATCGAACATGGTTGAACAAGTGGTCACGTGCTCCTGGGTGCCCAAATCACCTGGTCACCACGCCAGCAGGCGACAACTAATACTTTCACACCAAGGTTCAACTCGAGTTCAACTCGAGTGACAGGACTACACCCAAAAAAGGTCAAACAGGCTAGTAACTTGTACCCTGCAGGCACGGTGACCAGCTGACTGGTGTACGCAGGAGCACGTGACCACTTGTTCAACCATGTTCGATTGGGAATAAAGGAGGAACGCTGCATCGCAGCCTTTTCGGACCAAAACCAGTCGACTCAGCGTCCAAAAGACTACAACATATGGGCCAATCGCGGTCATCCGTGCTTTTATAAGAACGAAACGGCGCTTTTAGTGACATTTTGCATACAAATCCCCATCTAGTAGGGCGCAGTCACCCAGTTTCGGTGGAAGTGCGCGAGTTCGATTGGGATTCAAGTAGGAAGGGAGCGCCTCAGCTTCCTCGGACCAAGACCATTCGACTCAGCACCCCGAATACTACAACTGGTGCAATTTTAATTTTTGCCTTAACTTCCCCTTAACATCATCCGCATACTAGTATCCTGTCTCTGGTGGGACCATGTTATCATGCGCTAGCCTTGGAGGGAAGCGGTCTCAACACTCCCGCAGGGCAGCCTCCAGGTAACAAACGAACAGTATCGGGCTGAGCCCATCTCCCTGCGGAGTCCCGATATTGGCTTCGAAGGTATTGAATTCCTTCCTGCCGATCTTGACTGCTACATAGGTACGATACAGCAGGTGTTGAATCATACGCACCTCATCTGAACCCGCAATGCACGCCATGACTTCCACTACCTTCGCTCGGTCAAGTGTGTCAAAAGCATGGGACATATCTAGTCCTAGTACATGCATGCGGCAGTCCCAGTCGTATCGAGTTGCTTTATCTGCAAGCCATCGGATGCATCATACCACGTCACTAGCGCTGCGGCCTGTCCGAAATCTAGATTGAGTGGGCCCGAGGAAGCTAGACACTTGCTTCGATATTCGGTTTAGAACAATAAGAGATATGACTTTGCGGATGGTAATATTGAGGAGGGTGATAGGGCGTGGGTTTGCTGTTGGTCCCTTCGGTTTGTTTGTTTGTTTAGCGGGACAATCTACAGCACAGAATTACTACTGCTAAATCTGGTGAACGTGATGATAAACAACATTCAAGTGTTCTTAAAAAATTAAATAATATAGACCGTGTTGAATACGGAGCAGCACAAACCTATAGGGTGTGAGCAGGGACAGGGAGTGGCCGTGCAAACCTTGAGTTCAAGTAAATAGTACACGCTTTTAGTGTTCCGATCTATCACAGTGTGCATTCAGTGCATGCTCTGCGTACATGCGTGTGGCCCGGGCATAAAACAGTTTGTACATCAGTGCAGAATGCATCAATATTGACTCATCGGAGCCTACTCTTAGTGCCGTATCTTTTGCCATGGCTTCATCAATGGCCGCAGGAAGTGTTGTGAGGTTCTTGAGGTATAGCTTGGTGCTGGGGCTGACACCGGCGTGTCCAATCAGGGCCCTGTACACTGCAGTCGCCCACGCGCATGCCTCATACATTTGCAACGTCTGGCACCGGCAACTCCCTCGAGTCCTCACTGCCCGGATGCTGGACGGTGAACGGGGACTGAATGGTGCCGCCGCTGTCCAAGCTATTCGCGGCATTGATCTCTCGCAGCTGAAACAAGCCCGGGGCTGCCGAGGATGGCCGGGATTCAAATGCTGCGCGGCTCCCTGTTGGGTATGGCTGCACGTCTGCTACACCAGAATCACCCCTCGATGAGTCGGACTCGAGCAGTGTTGTGCTGGACTTCTGACTGGACTTGGTGGCCACTGAACTGGCTTCGTCGACTATCCTCGCGTAGCGACGCTTCTTCTTGGGATAGATGAAGAGCATGTAGGTCACCTTACCAGCCACGCTGAGGACAACCGCAACGCCGACCAGCAGCACCAGGGAGGTCAAGTCCTTGAGCGTCAGCGGCTTGATGTTGTCAATGCTGGTCACTTTAGAGCAGGTGCTCGGTACGTACTTGGAGAAGAGCTGTGATACCGTTCCATTGGAGAGCATAATGCTGATGGCACGGTTGACCTCGTCCAGCCATGGCGCGTCCTTCTTGGCAGCAAATGCATACTGTTGGGTGTAGGTCTGAGCAGTGAGTGAGCAGGCCGGAAGAAAGGGAAACGACAGAAAAAGTAAAAGTGCTGGACCATCAGTTTCTGGATTACGTTTGGTAAAAAATGTGGTGGAATGCTTAGTCAAAACGTTGGTCAGAAGGGTGGGTGTGCGTTACCATCTGCTACAGGCTCTGACTTTACTCTGACAGCTACGGTATTTGAAGCCCGAGTCGGCAACTTACTAGCAGCGGACACACTACTTTTTACTGATGTACCTGAGAAACCATCTGATTCTGGTGCTTGATCGTTCTTTCAGACCCAATCCAGCTGTCTGAGGGTCACAGATCCCAAGGGATGTTATTGATGATATCTATAACCCCCCCCCCCCCCCTGGGGTGGATACCAAAGTTTGGGGAATTAGTATAGCATTGTAAATCGGTAAAATATTGCACACATGAGCAATACTCACATAGAACTTTACTCACCATTCTTCCAGTAACATAAGTGTCACAGGCCTTGGCCGCTACACCTTCCAGTGATGGTATGTCAGATATGAATGCCGCTATCTGGCCGGAGCGCAACGCTGCAAGTACGGCCTCGTCACCGGTAACCGTGCGCACCTTACGCAGGCCCAGCTCCTGGGTAACATAGGGGTAGATAGAACCGCCGTACGCCGCACCCACCCACACCGACGGCAGGTCCGCAAACTCTTCCACCGACCTGGTACCTTCACGCGTTGAGAGGTAGTACGAGAGTTGAGCGGTGTACGCCGCCGAGATGATGAGCACCACAAAGAGAACAGTACCACTGAAGAGTCTTCCCATCGGCGCCTGCAGTCCATCTGTCTCCTGTGTAAAGAAGAAACTGCTGAATGAGTAGAACATAGAGTCAGATAGCGGCACACCACTATTTTTTCGGAAATTCACACCGGCAGGGTCGAAGTAAAGCATGAGAAGTCCGACCGCAATAAACATCATGAACAGGACCAGCCACACTTTCCAGCTGAACGGTGACACGAATGCCCAGATGCTCGACTGGACTTCGGTCGGTCGCAGCACCAGCATGCGCAGTCCTGTCAAGTACACGGAGCGTGTGAAGTCGCATGTCTTGGAGCGCTCCTTGGTGAGCGTGATTCCACCGATGGCCAGGTCCCACTCGTTGCTTTTGTTGCCGGCCAGCGCAACCATGGCCGTCCAGCTGGAGTACGGGTACAGATAGAACTGGTAAGAGAAACCGGCCGCTTGCGCCGCTCGCCGCATGATGTCCACCGCGATGCCCTCGTACTGATCCTGGCTGTAGTTCGACAATGGCTTGCTGTTCTCATCACCGGGACGCTCGTCTACACCAGCTATGAAGCTGAACGGCGAGTAGACTGGTACGAGGATTTTAAGAAGGCCCTGCAGCAGTACTCTGCCCGCCGGCATCTGTATGGTGTTCCCCGGCCATACCACTTCCTTCTCTGCATCGATTGTTAAGCGCGATAACGGAGACCACTGTCCGATCAACACGGCAGAGCCGTGCACGATGTTGACGATTTCAAACCGCGAGGACTGCGGCGTGTTGAGAACGGAGAATCGCTTGGACAGGTCGCGTGTCTCCCCTGTGGTGCTGGTGAAATTGATGCTGGGAAGTCGATCGAGTACGCACGCTGATATGAACGTCGGTCCCAACTGTACTTTGTCCAGCAGACTGCTAGATCTGACCAAGTCAGGAGTGTTCAATGTCCCATTACTACAGCAGTCATCCACAGCAGCGGCCAAGCCCGAGACAGCATCGTACGCATACATTGACAGCAGTGATAAGTTATCTTTACTTCCTGGGCTCGTTGGCAAGTGGAGCATCTGCTGGAAAGATTCTCTCGCACTGGCGTGGACTTCCGGCCTGAGCCACAGCATGCCGTGTAGACTCTCATTTCGCAGCTTGGCACTGAGCAGATCCAAGCCGTAGCTGTAGTCCGTGCCGATCCAGGCAAAGCTGGACGAGAACAGACCCAGCTGTTTGGCTGCTGTGAGAACTGGCTGCATGTGCCCCATGGCCAGGTTACAGATGATGATCTTCGTCCCCACGCGTTTCACCTGTTCCAGTACACTGTACACATGCTGTGACGGCACATCGCCAGTATAGTCAATGTTGCCAAGGTAACTGACGTTTATACTCTTCTCGGCAGCAAAGTCGGAGAACATCTCTCGAAAACTCACGCCGTAATGGGTGTCGGAATTCAGCAACACCACTTCGGTCCAGCTGTAGAAGCCGATAAGCTCTACCACTGCCAGCGGGAGCTCTTCGTTTCTTGGATACATTGTGTACAAGTTGGGAGTAATGCCCTTGGTTAGACTTGAATCGCTCGCTGCAATGCTCAGCATGGGCAGTCCAGTCACCTGGCTGACTGGTGTGAGTGCTCGCACAGAGCTGGACGACACCAAACCCAGGACAGCGGCGGTTTCGCTGCCGTTCCGCGCCTGCACGGCGCTCACCAGGCTGGCAGTGGTCGACCAGGCATCCTGGAATGAATCAATGATCGACCCGATCACAAGCTGGCATCCGATGCCAGCCAGTCGTTGACTGTTGCTGTGTTCGATGGCCAATCTTACGGCAGCAATGATCTGTCTTGAGACAGGATCTTCGGGAACAGGCAGCACTACCTCCACCGAATAGTTTCTTGTCGCCAATTGAACCGGACCACCGGTGGGCTTAGCTGAAGACGACTGGCATGTCAACATTATACCCAGCATGATACCAGCGACCAGTGCGACTAACTTCTTACAACCCGCACCGGGTATCCGACACATTATGTCCGCACTCATTTGTTCAAGTTAGTTGCGTCCGCTGAACGAGGAAACCTCGGCGATAGAATCCACGTATTGCGAAATAATACTGCTGTCGATTGCTCGCCCGTTCAGCCGAATGGATTGAAATGATCTGGTGATTCGATTTTCAGGTCGACAAAACATCGCTCACAGCGTAAGTGCACCTCCACAGTCTGCTCACCGGACCACCTTTGTTGGTGGTGTACACACCTCTACGTCCCCAAGTGTTATTCACAGGAGGGCGAATTAGCTCGCACCTGTCGTCGGCTGTCGATGCTAGCTGCGTTTCTTCGTCTGTGTGTCATCGACAGCACGCCAGGAAAACTACCGTTGCGGAAAATAATTCCGAGATTTTCCACTGACCATCTAACGTTACGGCGTTTCTCGTCCGGTGAAACCAGACAAGTCGGCTGTCCCGAGCCTTGCAGCTTCCTCGTCAGAGGACCAAGCCCGGATACGGGTGGGATGTCCATCTTCCTACGGGTGGGATCATGGATATGGATGTCCATCTTGAATTCTTCCGAAGCGACGTAGGTTCTGCAAGCTTCCGTCCCCGCAGGACCGCGCAGGTTTTAGGCGTGTGCAGAGACTGGATCCGTAGATGCGAGTGCAGTGGGCCAGGCCAGTGGTCACGGATGACATGCATCATACTCTTATGAAGTACAGTAAATATCAATAAAACTGTGAACGGTGCCATTCGGCTGTTTCTTAATACAACAATGGAGGAGGAGAGTTTGTTGTACTCGCATTGTAACGACGTTACGTTCGGTGACTGTCACCGGACGACGTGCCCTGGGCTGCTGTTTTACTGACCAATGAAGATTTGCAGGTGCTGTCGTGGATGAAGATGACTTTGTAGTTATACAAGACTGTCCACACTGTGCATATTGTGCATAATTATCCAGTCGTGTCGAACAGAGAAGTATCGTATCAGCACAGAGTCAGTACAAATCACGTTAGCCCCTCACCCTGCACACCGCCGCCATGACACAGCCGGCCAGGGACAGCCTACAGTACAGGTGCTAGGAGTCTAGTAGTATAGTTGGAGGTGATAATAACTAACTTTGACAGGCACATTCTCTGGTGACACAATCCTACCACTTACCAGTCTTCACCTAGACAGTTGACAGTTGGTTACTAAGCTCAGCACTCAGTGTTCCGACACTGGGGTCAGCGCAGTGGGAGCTCCTACGTGTCCTGTATGCACAGCGTACTCAGCCTACTGAGCTGGGCTATTGCAAACTGTGTCCTCTTATTGTTTAAAACTGTATTAAAACACCTTATTACTAGCAAGAGTACTCTTGTCTAATGACCTACGGCCAGGTGTCATTAGTCCCTTCACATCTACCTCATACGTGCATGCCGCAGACCACACAAGTGACTGGGCTTCATATTCTCATGTGCCAGTGGGGATGAGACTCATGCTATCGATAGTTGTTGCACATCGTGAAATGCAGCCACGCTCAATGAAATCCGATCTCCTCGTGATAATAAGAATAAGCTAGCGTCCGACTCCTAGATCCTGAACGAGTGCACAGCCTAGCCCTGTGTTTTTACAGATCTGGAGCGACACATTAAGTCACCCGATCGGATTTCATTGAGTGTCACTGTTTACAATACAGCACCGGTACGTACATGTACATGTACAATCAGTCATGTATGTCATGTGCATGTCCATGCATTGTATGCAGATTGTGCTTACTAGTACTTGTCACGCCCAAGCTTTTTGCAGGCTTGAATGCATGATTATGACGCATATGGATGGGAACCGAACGTGCTTCAAGGACCTGCGGAAAGGGGAATTAACTGGATATGACTGACTGTGAGATCGCACCCGCAACGATGAAGTCATAATTATTAATTTATGCTGCATGCTGTTGAGTTATCCCTGCATCAGTACATGTCTGCATTGTACAGGTAGTACCGTGCCATGCACAATGCCCTCTGGAAACGGAACATGTCCATTATGCTGTAGTATGTTCACTCTAAAGTTCAAGAGGACACATGAACTGAATATGGCGTGGGCAAGCTTGTGATAGCCTACCCGAGCTCAAATGTGCACATGTATGTAGGGGATAGATGACCATTTCCACAGATCGAAAAGCGGGACCGGAGGAGAAGGAGGATGAAGTTTTCAAGTAAAATATGTAGTCGTGGTAGTGAAGTCGAGGAGAGATTACAAGCAGGTGGTAGCAGCAGGTGAATGGTTTGAATGCGCCAGTTGGAGTTTCAGATTCATAATAACTATTATAGTCTCTTGGCTCTCTCTCTCTCTCCCTCTCTCTCTCTCTCTCTCTCTCTCTCTCTCTCTCTCTCTCTCTCTCTCTCTCTCTCTCTCTCTCTCTCTCTCTCTCTCTCTCTCTCTCTCTCTCTCTCTCTCTCTCTCTCTCTCTCTCTCTCTCTCTCTCTCTCTCTCTCTCTCTCTCTCTCTCTCTCTCTCTCTCTCTCTCTCTCTCTCTCTCTCTCTCTCTCTCTCTCTCTCTCTCTGTCTCTCTCTCTGTCTCTCTCTCTCTGTGTCTCTCTCTCTGTGCCTCTCTCTGTGTCTCTCTCTCTCTGTCTCTCTCTCTCTCTCTCTCTCTCTCTCTCTCTCTCTCTCTCTCTCTCTCTCTCTCTCTCTCTCTCTCTCTCTCTCTCTCTGTCTCTGTCTCTGTCTCTGTCTCTGTCTCTGTCTCTGTCTCTGTCTCTGTCTCTGTCTCTGTCTCTGTCTCTCTCTCTCTCTCTCTCTCTCTCTCTCTCTCTCTCTCTCTCTCTCTCTCTCTCTCTCTCTCTCTCTCTATCTATCTATCTATCTCTCTCTCTCTCTCTCTCTCTCTCTCTCTCTCTCTCTATCTATCTCTCTCTTTCTTTTTTCTCTCTTCAACGTTATTCCCAATCCCCGGCTTGCATTGTTCTAATTTCACAGAATGGATCAGCTATTCAGCTCTACGTGTATGATGTAGTCCCTACAAACATACATATCAAGGTGAGGCACCACGCAGCGGTCTTGACTCGAACGGCCATGCAGTTCTAGTACTGCGTGAATGGCTACAGTAGGCAGTGTGGATCGCAGTACCTACTGATCTGCATATTATTATGTGAATGTTTAGTAGATCTACTACTCTCTGTCCTGGTACTGAGCAGATAACCTTTCACAAAGCTGACATTAAAGCTTACGCTAAGTCTACAGCTATGCAAAGAGGCGTGACGACTTCTCGATCTCTCCATCTCGGTACCGCTGACACCGTCCGTCGACGGCCACACAACTCACAAGTCAGGTGGGTGAAATCAATGATAATCAGATGGTGTGCAGCTGTGCACATTGTGGACAATAGCATCATAACAATCGTGCACATGTAGGTGGATGCGACCATTAGCTAGTCCCCGACTACTCGGCCTACAATATCATTACACAGACTCTGGCTCTGTTTATCTCATGATTAGCAAAGCACCACCTCTTACGCGCCCGACCCGAACCGTGAGGCACTGGATCTCACCACTGCCTTGGTGCCTGTGTGTCCACGTGTGTACATGTATGATTGTAGATCTCAGTGACTTGCACCACCTGCGAAAGATCTGTCTTACTGTCAGAGACATGTGTTATCACACAGGACGAGTAGTATTGATTCTTCTTGCCACAGCACTCTGCCGGTGGTTATATCCCTCGCTGTCGGTGAAGTGCTGCCTAGCTTGGATTCTCACTCTACTTACCAGCGGCAAGTGTAGCACGTCGTTGTCATTGTTGAAGAAGGAAAGCACACCATGGCATGGGAGATAGTAAAATATCTCCCACAGGCTACCGCTAGCTACCTAGCCTGGTCCCTGTGGCATTGGGGCTCGTATTCAGTGAAGTGATAACACGTGTGACGCCGCAGTGTGACCGACGCGATTAAGGTGATGCTGATGATGTGGTCAGGAACATTTGAGTGTTATGATGCATGCTGATACTGCAGAATGTATTACATGCATGTGCAGTGCATATATGTACCGGGACGTATCATCGGGTTTTGGGTGCGAATTACTTGGGAGTATTGCACCTAGATGTGGTGCATGATAAGGGAACAAAATGAAACCTGATCCTTTCCAATACGCCTGTGGAGGCATTCCAACAGGGTGACTCATGGTCAACATTTAAAAAACACTAAAATTATGTAGAAGCAAGGGTCAGACTTGGGGACCTCGTAGTTCTAAACCGTTGAAAGGAGGGCCACTGATAAGACAACCTAACACATGACTGCAATTCAATTGAGAGTGGCGATCACATCTAAGCCAACCCCCCCCCCCCCCTCCAATCTTTTTTTTCCTCGCTAGAACACTGCCCCTCCCCCCCCCCCCCTCCACCTCTTCGAATCTCTCTCTCGCAGACTAATGGTTGGCTGGCACCAAGAGCACACGAGGTTGTGGATCCTTGCTATCACTTATTGGCTGGCACCAAGTACGCCGAGGCTAGGCTAGCCCTTGGCCATGGTTGCTAACTGGCAGAGGCCCTTGAGAGTACTATTCGGTTTACACCACCGCTTGGTATGCACTAGGGAGCATAAATCAGCGCTCTCTGACAATGCACAACAACAAGAAGTCAGGCACGAAGACTTGGTAGCAGCTACGGTGACACATGTGAATCTGCATGATCACAAGCCACAGTAGGTGATGGTGCACCATGAGACTGCTGGTCAGCCAAATAACTACAGGACATGCAGCAAGCCCAGAAAACATGTCTTCCAAATTTCTAGAAACAGAAACACTCCACAGCAAGCATCCATGGCTATGGCTCTGGTCGGCACCAATTTGCTTTTAAAAAGCTTCATTTGAAGCAAATGTTCCTAATTGCATGCTGCAATAATTATAGTGACCCCAAAGCAAAATCGCAAATGAAGATGGGATTTATTCTAAATGGACTAACAAAAATATATTCGAAAATTAAATTAAAGCTGGAGATATCTCTGTCAATAGTTTGGTTTGAATTGAAAAATAAATACGGAAACTCAATGACGGGAAGCTGACGTCTTTGAAAGACAGCGAGCTGATGGCTACACAAGTGCAGTCTCAGCAGTCTGTTTGAAGTCGAATACGCCGTCTGAAGAAGCAGAAAGTGGAGTGCTCTCGCCTGCATTCACCGAGCTTTGGAAGAGGACTCTATTTTTAGGTGCATTCGATACTAAAGGAGCTGTGTCGGAAAGAAACTTGAAGCTGCCGAATGAAGACGCACGACGCATGTTAAATGCATCCTTGCTATTCCTTGAAGCGCACGATGCGCTGAGCATACTGGAAACTCCGGAGTCTCGGGAGTCTGACTTGTACGGCCAGTCAGAGCTGGGCTCGGCGTTGGAAGGCCGCTTCAGAGCTCCAACACCAGCCAGGCTGCTGACGCGGCGCTTTCTCTGCCGCTTGCGAGTCAGGAGAACGAAGAGCTTGCCGATAACGCTGACGCCTGCCGTCACACCAACCAGTATGACTAGGGAGAGCAAGTCTTTCATCGTTAGTGGCTTGATGGTGTCGATGCTCACCACTTCGGGACACATGTTTGGCACTGCATCGCGAAAGTTCTTGGCAATCACGCCTTTATTCAGGAGCACGCTGATTGCTTTGTCGACCTCGCTCAGCCAGGATGCATTCTTCTTGGCCACAAAGGCATACTGCTGCGTGAAGATCTGAAATCAGGCACACAACAATAGAGTGAAAACAGTAATTTCAGTGAATGCACCGGCTTCTGTGGGCTAGGCTAACTGTGCCTGTGGTTTCAAGACTGCACAGTCATGCAGCTCTCTGTAATCAGTCAAATGGTGGTCAACACAAGCCGCACATCACACCCTCTATCTAGCTGCATACAGTTCTGTCACATCTTGCAAATCCGCCTCCGCTTATGAACTGCGAGTGAAGATGAGAGAGGAGATAATTGGTTTGCAAGTTGCGATAGGATAGTTTCCAGCTAGATACGAGTCGTAGAGTATGTAATGTGCAGCGTGTGTTGACAACCATTTGACAGACTATTCTGTCGACTGTTCACATAAAGCCAATTTCACGGCAGAGCTAGAATATGTGGTAAAACCTGGGAAACTCAACAACCCAAATTGAACAGAAACACATGCTCAAACGTTTCCTGATTGCCAGGGGGAAGTCACCATGGCTCTGGATGGTAACCTCCCGCGACAGCGCGTCCATGTTAGCGCGGTGCACTTCAGCGCGACCGCCTTAGCGCGAGGCATTTCAGCTCGGTGCCATTTCAGCGCAGTGTCTTGACAGCGCCGATGATTTCAGCGCGAAATTTTTAAGCGCGGGACATGTCAGCGCCAATTTCTTCAGCGCAGATTTTTTCCGCGGGAGGCACTTCAGCGCCGTACACGTAAATGTACGTACGGGCACCAATTAGCCGGCAGCCGGCATGCAGGAACTTAACAGTGCTGGTAACCTACAGGACTGCTGTCGTCAACTGATGGCATTGCCATTCCTGCCAGAAGACCAGGTCACAGCCGCCTTCGATTGGTTGGATTGAGAATGCTAACGTTCCGATGTCGCTGTGGTGCTGCCATGGAAGGGACGTCAGGACCAACAACAGTGTTGAGGGATGGCACTATCGATTTAGCCGAAAGGTGAACATCACCCACCCCAACGTATGGGTGCTGTTGGAGCAACTGAAGATGGAGGCTTCGCGTACGGAGCTTCTTGCCGGCCAGATGCAAGCTGGCCAGCGCATCCCAGTCGGGAAAGCTTCATACACTCGACTTAACGATCGAGTTCGCGTCCTGGAAATCAGACGTGCAAATGGAGAAATTACTAATTTTGAATTTGTTTTCGAATGTTGGTCGACTTTATCATTTCTAATCTACGGATTCTCTTGTCATATCGCTATATGCCAACTAAAATAATAATTCAAACTATGTGAAAACAAGTTTGTCAAATAATCACCAAATCACCAAATTCCGCTAGCGAGAGTGCAGACGAGACCACTAATTCCGTGCGTACGATAATGCGTAAGATACTGCGTATTATAGTACACGTGAAAGTGCTCCGCGCTGACATTATATGAGCTGAAGTGCCTGGCGCTGACGTTACTTCGCGCTGACAGTGCATCGCGCTGAAGTGCCTTGCGCTGACATTACCTCGCGCTGAAGTGCCTCGCGCTGACACTACCTCGCGCTGAAATGCCTTGCGCTGAAGTGGTCGCGCTGAAATGCCTCGCGCTGTAGTGGACGCGCTGTCGCGGGATGGAATCCTCTGGATCCAGGCCCTCATTCCTAGGAAAACATCTATACCTTCTCAGCAGGTTTCGGAGAGGAGAGAGGAGAGAGGAGAGAGGAGATTTTAAAGTAGTGAAACCCAAAATGAAGTAAAGGTGCCAAGTTTGTCCACTTCACACTTCATGCAAACATTATATAAATCTACACAAACACAAACATCTTACCAATCTCCCATTCAGCATTGTATCACATTCCGTTGCTACGATTGCTTCGAGATGCGGTATATCAGCAATGTACGCCGCTATGCTACCGTTTCTCAGCGCAGCCAACGCATCCGCCACGCCGCCCACGACGCGAATGTTCCGAAACCCCAGCTCCTGCGTGACGTACACGTAGCTAGTGCCTCCGAAGCGAATGCCAACCCATTCTGTGTGCAGGTCTGAGAACTCCTCCACAGGTTCCTGTCCCGTGCGCATCGACAGGTAATAGGACAGCTGAGCTGTGTACGCGGCTACCAGGATCAGTACCACAAACAGCACAACGCTGATGAATACACGGCCAAAGGGCTTCTGGATGTTGTCAGATTCCTGTGTGAAGAAAAAGCTGCTGAAGGAGAAGAACATGGAGTCAGAAATCGGCAGCCCGCAGTCGTTCTTCTGATAGGTCACCCCATCTCGGTCCAGTGCAATCATCAAAACACCGACGAAGAAGAACATGCCGATTAGTGTCACCCATAGCGACCAGTCGAGTGGTAAGATGAACGCCCACAGGCTGGAGTTGACTTCCGTTGGTCGCAGCACCAGCATGCGCAGGCCTGACAGGTAGATGGAGCACGTATAGTTGGCTGTTTGCGCGCGTGCCTTGTTGACTGTGATGCTGCCCACAGCCATGTCCCAGGGCGAAGTCTCATCGCCTACGAGAGCAACCATTTTAGTCCACGTCTCGAACGGATACAGATGCAGCTCGTAGCGGAAGCCTGCGCGGGCCGCAACTGCCTTGAAGAAATCAATGGCAACGCCTGAAAAGTCCTCATTCGTGAAGTTGAATTCGGGAATGATGTCGGAAGAACCTCGCGTCCGCTGAAATCCTGGGACATAGCCAAATGGTTTGGAAATAGGAACTAGCACTTTGAGAGTGTGACCAAACACAAGGCCGCCGGTAGGTCTGAGCGTGTTGTTTCCAGGCCATTGGATAACTGCATCGGTGGATATATCAAGTCTCCGCTGGTCCGTCCACTCTCCAACACGCACTGACGTCCCCTGCGAAGGGTTCACCAAGTCGTACTCCGCTGCCTTGCGATCACCAGGCTTAGCAAAGTCTATCAATTCCCCGGTGACACTGGTTATTTTCACCGACCGTAAGCAATGGAGGACGCAGCTTGACATGGCAGTTGGCTGCATGGTTAGTCCAGACAAAGATTTCGTATTTCCCGTAACAGTTCCAGCACGTCCTGCAGCCTTTCCGTGACACTTTGCAACTGCCCGTGCAATGGCGGTGACTGAATCGTACGCATACATCGAATGGAGGGACAGGACGGAGTCGTCATGCGGCACAAGTGCATCGTCCCGGCTTGCGAGTTGTGAAACAAATGCTTGCCGCGCCTTTTGACCCACGTTTGGCCTGAGCCACAGGGTTCCATTGAGATTTGTGGCAAGCTCTTCGCTCATTAGCCCAGTACCAGTATCTAGCTGGGCACAGATCCAGGCATAACCCGCTGATAACAGATCCAATGACTTAGCAACTCGCAGCACTTGTTCCAGCGTCGATAGTGGAAGACTTGTGACGATTATTCGACTGCCATTGGTCGCTACACTACGCAGAGAGTCCTCTGTCTGCGCTGATGGACTATCCTCACCATTGTCAGCAATGTCAAAAACCAACTTCACTGCAATGTTATGCCCCGCAGCTGCCTCCAGAAACCTGCTGCGGAATCCTGCTCCGTTGAACGAATCCGAGTGAAGCAGTACCACTTCCGTCCAACCGTATGACAGCACGACCTCCACCATTGCCGTAGCTAGATCGCCGTTCGGTTGACTCAGACGAAAGAAGTTCGGCGCAATTCCGTCCGTCAGGTCTACATCGCTGGCTGCAATGCTGAGCGTTGCCAGCTGAGCTACTTGACTTATCGGAGTCACGGCGCGAACAATTCCCGATGATACCAATCCGCTGATGGCCACCAACTCGTCGTCCCGGCTCGCAACGGCCGCCGCCAGCGACGAAATCGTCAGCCATGAGCTGCGTTGAGATTCAATAACATGCGACAAACGTAACTGAAATCCTTGTGGAGCCAACTCCTTGTTCCACCTTTCCACGGACAATTCAGTGCCTATGCGAGCTTGAAGGAATGCGGGATCTGATAAACTCGGAACGACCAAAGCGAAAGAATACTGGGCCAACTTTTCTTTCGTAACTTCGAACTGCGGAGCTGCGCGGTCTGAACGTAGTTTGGGGAGGACGACAAGTGGACTGCTATGATGATGTTCATATGCTGATCCTGATTGACTGAGGGTAGAGAAGAGGATGGCCAGGTAATACGCGAAGTGGCAAACCCGTGGTAGTGCCACGAATCGACGGGCTTTGGCTGTTGGGATCATCGATGCAAGCTGAATGAACACGAATGTTTTTGTCTACAATATTCCAGTCAAGTAATAATAGTTACGCTCACGATGGTGCCAAGAATCGCCATACTAATACTACTATAATAGAAGTACAGTCATGTAGCTAGCACCTCCGGACTGGAGGAAGCGTTACCATCCGCCGTTACTGCAAGAAGACACTGATTATGGTCGGTGGCTGACCAAAAACCGTGTCGAGATGTGCATGTTGTCGAGGAGATCTACGCTTGACCTCTCTGCACTCTGTGGTGTCCAGGAACGCCTGGCCCTGTAGACGGTGTAGACTGTACTGCCACTGGCAGTAGTTGTTTGGGCTGTGGCGATGCTGACTGCATACCCTGGTGACTTGGCTGGAACACACACAGAGGTCGAACTGCAATGTGATCATGGTGATTGTTTGTGCCATTGTGGCGATCCGCGCGGCGATGGGATGGGCATGGGAGACTCGAGTAGCAGAGACTTGCTACTCCACACCATGTAGATCTACCACACTCTGCAGTGCAGTGGTGGGTTCGCCGGATCGCGGAGTATCCGACATGACACCGTTCGACATCACGGACACCTGCTGGCACGCTGAACATGTGTCGCTCTGAGGCAAGTGACAGAATCTAGTAAAGGAGCCATCAAGCCTACTCACCTGATGAAGCCGTGAAGGAGTTTGAATTCAAACTACTTGCAGTTGTAATGCACACTCCCCGATGGGATTCGCCTTACTAGTACTTCAGTCGGACTCCGCCGGAAAGTTCTGCGCCGCTAAAGAATGTCATGTAGAGTGCTGCTTCTCTACGCTAAGAACAGCAGAGTAACTCAGAGTATCGCCACCGTTCTTGTCAAAGGATGCTAGCTTAAGTTATAGTCTTATACTTATAGAGTAACCATGGTAACCGCCCATCAACCAGCGACAGGCCAGTTTCAGCAGTATCACCTGCTTTGCAACTTTGTCACTTCGATCCATGACACCTGACACATGCACCTCGGTCAGGTCGAGGAACACCAACGAACACAGTTTCTCAGTTCCGAATACTCCGCTTGACACAAACGCTGGCTTCTTGCCAATCGCGCGACGTGATGACCACGTGTTGACCGTGTATTGCCCCCGTCTAACAACAACCACAGAAGTGACAAATCACCATGGAGAGGTCACGGATGGCACAAAGCTGTGTTCTCGAGTGCACATCGCCCCCCCCCCCCCCCCCCAAGGGCAGTAGACTACCACTGGGAGTATCGTTTCTGTTGACGACGCCTTGTGTTTTCTCAACAATCCGTCTTGTATTAGTTCCGTGAGTGCTTCCAGTATACGTACATCAGCGCCCTTGCGCTTTTGGATCTGGAAGAGAAGAGATTTCAGGGACGGGGGAGGCAGGGCAGAGACGACTGACGCGATGACGGCTAACATGGGTATGCGCTTGAAACATGTGAAAGCTCAGAGCCGTAAACCAGGGACCAGGCACAGATTGTCCATGTGGATAGAGCGCACTGAATGCGTCCTATATCTACACCCTGGCCCTTTGCTTTGGGTCCGTCAAACTGCGCTCTACCCTGAAATGATTGACACTGGATGTCGTCTACTCATGTCCTATGGGCGAGACTTAAATTGGGCAAAGCTCAACTGGGCCCCGGACTCTGGTGATTTTTTATTTTTTATTCTTCGGAAAACACTGAATTGAGATAAATATAATATGACGCCATGCTAGACTAATGACTATGTGGAAGGTAATACTGCATACCAGTGTAATGAGAGTTCACATAATAATAGGTCATTGTATTACCTTTAATAGGTATTCTTTTTCCCATACAACCTCTACAGCACAAGCAGATGTTGTGCTTCAAATGCCGGAATGTTCATTGATAAGAAGCTTAGTAGAGACTGTGATCGGCATGTGCGAAGAAGGATTCCCCTGCTCATGCATGCTACGCAAGTAGCGAACAAGAGCAGCTACAGGTTGAGATCTACTAGCTGCATTGCCAACACTATGCATGCGAGCCGGTGAAGTGAGCTGCCTGCCATGTCTTCCAGAGTTCCAGTCGACTAGAAACACTCCACAGCTAGCATTCATGGTTATGGCTCTTGTCGGCACCAATTTAAAAGCTTCATTAGAAGCAAATATTCCTAATTGCATGCTGCAATCATAGTGTACCCAAAGCAAAATTGCAAAGGAAGATGCAATTTAGTCTAAATGGACAAATTCTGAATAATAGATTCATTCGAAAATTAAAGAGGGATATATCTCTGTCAATAGTTTGGTTTGCATTGAAAATATATGCGGAAAATCAATGGCGGGAAACTGACATCTTTGAAAGGCAGCCAGCCTATGGCTACACAAGTGCAGTCTCAGCAGTCTGTTTGAAATCGAATACATCGTCTGAAGAAGCAGTAAGTGGAGTGCTATCCCCTGCACTCACTGAGCTTTGGAAGAGGAGTTTGGGTGCATTCGATACTAAAGGAGCTGTGTCGGAAAGAAACTTGAAGCTGCCGAATGAAGACGCACGACGCATGTTAAATGCATCCTTGCTATTCCTTGAAGCGCATGATGCGCTGAGCATACTGGAAACTCCAGAGTCTCGGAAGTCCGATTTGTACGGCCGGTCAGAGCTGGGCTCGGCGCTGGAAGGCCGCTTCAGAGCTTCAACGCCAGCCAGGCTGCTGATGCGGCGCTTTCTCTGCCGCATGCGAGTCAGGAGAACGAAGAGCTTGCCGATAACGCTGACGCCTGCCGTCACACCAATCAGTATGACTAGGGAGAGCAAGTCTTTCATCGTTAGTGGCTTGATGGTGTCGATGCTCACCACCTCCGAACACATGTTTGGCACTGCATCGCGAAAGTTCTTGGCAATCACGCCTTTATTCAGGAGCACGCTGATTGCTTTGTCGACCTCGCTCAGCCATGATGCATTCTTCTTGGCCACAAAGGCATACTGCTGCGTGAAGATCTGAAACATGCACACAACAATAGAGTCAAAACTGTGCATGCACCTTCTGTGGGCTAGAACGAGAGAGCTTGGAAGCTCAGGGCCCTATGCTATGGTTTTTTTGCCTGGCTCATCATGCATGTTATTACTTCGAAGTAGAACTGATGGAAATGTTTTTTTCCATTGATTGGCTATTTTCGCATCGAAAGAAATAAACTTTCTCTTTGGTCCCGACTTCGTTGCGGTCTTATAGTGTTTTACGTCGACCATGACAGCTACAATGCCCAACCACACCACAACAAACTGATCGGCTACATCATTGTATTGCAGAAAGTTTCCATCTGTTCAAATAACATGCATGATGAGCTAGGCAAAAAAGCATAGCGTAGGGCCCTGAGCGAAGGAAATAAACTTTCTCTTTGCATTCGAGGGTAATACGACACCGTCTACCACCTTGATGACCTAGGCAAAAAATCATAGGGATGTTATAAATTTTTCATTTCTCCTATTTTTTTTCAGACATAACGTAGGATTCGAACCCGCACTATCGCCCTGTGTGCGTACTGCATGCATTCCCCCGATACACTTCGCATACATACTCATTAGTGAGGTTCCGGGGTACGATTTTCCGTGCTAAAATCCGTATGGGCGCTACGGATTTTTTCCAGGCGTGCTCCATACGATTTTTCGGCACGGAAAATCCGTGTGGACTGGCTTTCATACGAACCATGTTTCGTATGGAGATTTTGTGTCATCGGGTGCAGAAAGATTTTTCGCGTACACATTTGGTACGAGAAACATCGATTTTCCGCGGGAAGTTTTTATTTCGGTACAATTTTTCAAAATAAAAAGGCATAACGAGGGAATGTGACGTGTCTGCGATCGTAACCTAGGCAATGACGGCAAACACATAAGTTCCGTACTCCAGAACATTTCACTGCTCGAAAACTACGTATAAAAAATCCGTAGCGCCTCTACGGATTTTGGCACGAAAAATCGTACTCCGGAACCTCTCTATTCTTCCAAGTTGCTTCACATTATGATCTTGCATTTGAAAGCCCTATTTGAATACTAGTATTGTGGCCAGCTGTCTTTGATGGTACGGTATGGGACAGGTACGGGATAGCGCCAGGCATGCCGGCGGCACAAACACACACGGAATTAAAGCTATGTGGACCCTGGCTAGCGCCAGACGTTACTGAAGTAACGTCTTTTGCATAGCTACGGGAATAACGGTGGTTTCAAGACTGCACATGCAGCTCTCTATATTTATTGCCTCGGTCACGCTGAACACACGCTCAGCATCACACGGTCCAGGTAGCTACAAACAGTTCTGTCACATCTTGCAAATCCACTTCCTCTGATATTTCACTGCTAGTGATGGATGGCGTGAGAGGAGATTGGTTTTCAAGTTCTGGTGATAGAACTGTTTGCAGGTAGATGCGAGTCGTAGAGTATGTGGTGCAATTTCTTCATGGTCTTCTCCCAGCCCTTCCTTTTCCTTTCATGTTTTCTACTGAAGCATAAAATAATATCATACCAAATCATAATATATTCTTTGCATCTCTTGCCCATGAGCTTTGGTCGGCATTCACCCTGCCCTTGATGTGAACTTCATGTTATGAAACGCAGAAAGTAGCTATAATGAGATAAAAAGTAAGAAAGTTGGCGATGGAGCTTTTGTTATTCCTGCCGACTGCCTAATTTGTTCTCTTGCAATCATCGCAAGCTTGCAACTTGTTAGTTTGCAGGTGACATCACTGCAGGTGACATCACTGCAGGTGACATCACTGCAAACAACCAAGGGTGGTCCCTGGTCAGTGTTTGCCTTGCATACATTGGTGACACATGCTCACACGACTGCCGGCTGCATGGCACTGATGAGGTATTCGTTGCACTGGAGAAGGAGCGTCTCCGGTGATGTTTGGGCCGGGACAGTACGCCACCTTGGGGTGCTATCCAAAAAAACGTCATCAGCCGTGTGGAGGGCCAGTGATGAGGGTGACTACCATGGTCTACACGACGCTGTGAGCCGGACAGGGAGTAGCTCTGGCTAGGTTTACTGAGTCGAAGGCTAAGTGGTCTGCATGACATTGTGTTATCGGCATTGTAGTCACGAAACCGTCAAGCATCAAGCCATCTGGCCGGGAAAATGCGCGAGCTCCAGTTTCAGCAGCAAACAATAGCACATATACCATGTATACGGGACTAG